TTTGCACAGACTCTGTTTGCTTCAAGAAAAAAAACCCTAAATTTTTGGGAAACAGGTGCAGGGTAACATTGACATGGGGAATCACATCTCCCAGTTGGATGATTATCCCCTTTCTGGTGGCAACAAGTGTCTCCATCCCAAGGGTCCTTGTGGCAGCCTCTTCCCACCCATGAGGAGTTTTTATGGGCAAGCCAGGGCACCAGCCTGAAGCACACTGGCAAGCTTCTGAGTGCAACTGAGCGTGTACTGGAGTAGACTCTCCTCATTCCAAGGGAAAGGATTCACATTTGTATCTACTTTAAGAAGCAGAAAAAGTCCTCTCAAAACCAAATTCCACAAAGGACTGGTAGCCTCTTCAAACAGATGAGAACTGTATTCAGGGTAATGGCATAAAAAGGCTGTAACCTGCTGAAGTGCGATTTGTTAAGTTATTTGTGATGACAAGCAAGCTCAAATAGTTCCCAAGCCATATTCATTAGCTTTCACTGAGCCCATGGGATAAAAACAAGTTGCATTTCAGCATAATCAAATGCATTTGGTGGGAAGGATGACATGAGTATGGCCATTAAGCATCCAGACTAGAGGAACTGTTTCACTTCCTTAGGAAGTGCAGCACAATGTATATATAATAGACTTGTAAAAACTTGAGCTGTATTCCATTTTACCTCAAGTGTGATAAGCTCAAGCACATCAACACACTTAACAGCAAGTTCAATTTACAGCAAGTTCAATTCACAGCCTGTACTTACACATTGCTTTTTTTGTAGCTTAGCTTTAGCATCAGAGGGACAAGCTGTGCATGACAGAGGGGACTCCTGCAGTCCCAGAGAGGCCACAGCCAGGAATTTTATCTTCCTCCAGGACCCCATACGTGATTAGGAGAACAATGCTCATTAGATTCCTCTTAGTGCAGCTGAAATCTCAGCACAGCTACTTCTCAGCTCGAAAGGATTTCAAAAACTGCTCAACAAAACTGATTTAGTTTAATTAAACTTATCTACATTTTATAGACAAAGCACATCTCAGACAAAGTGCAAAACTTACAGATAGCATTGACCCAAGAGATTCCACTCCTGGGTAAAGCTGCTAGCTGATAGCCCAGTGTAATTTAAGCAATCATTTTTACATGACTGAATCTGATGAATAGTTTTCTTTGTGAAAAATGGCTTCTGGCCAGACATGGACAAAAATAGGCAATGAACAAGGCATTCTTGGAACAGATCAACTTCTCTCTACTGATTTAATCGTAGCAATACCTCCTAACAGACCTGAAAAGAATCTTTTTCTGCATTAGGCTTTCTAATTCCTTGATGATTTTGACTGACTGATTTGTCTTTCAAGTTGGAAGAGCATTTCATTATAAAAGTGTGCACTGCTTTATTATAAAATGTCCACATGGCACAAACTAATGCCTTGATAGCAATTTATAACTTACAAAGATGATGGCAATCCATTTTTATGGCATCTAGATCCACCTTTAAAGATAAAATTTGCAGATCCTTCTGAGAATAAACCATCCATTTGGAAGGGTAAGACATAATTCAGAGGAGCTACAAACACCAGAGAAGAGAGCAATATAACAACCAAATCTAATGAAATGTGGTCCTAAAGTGAAGGTAATTGTCTTTTCTCACTAGAACTGTTTATTGAAAATTGTATGTCTCTTGGAGTTACCATAACTGTGTTCTGGATCTTGTAGCTTGAAGCACGCTGGATGCAAGGTTTGGCTCCACTCTGTGCAGGGTCCCTATCAAATTAACAACAGAAGTGGCTGCTGCACAAGAGCTACTGTCCTTCAGCTGCCTGTCACCAGCCTTCTGCCCGGTTCCCAAAATGGGCAGCATAAGGAGTCATCCCTTCCAGCACAGGACAGGACCAACCAGCTTATTTTAAACCTCAAGTTATTTGCCACGGGAAGGTCACAGCCAGGGCAGTGACCTGCAGCATAAAAGCAGTAACACCCTGTGCCACAGTGCATTTCTGCAGCAGCTGCAGCCTACCACAGCTCAGCATCCCTGAGCATACTCCATCTCTCACAGAATATAAGCATCAATCAGGTCAAACTAGAGAGCAGCACGATAAAGAAAAATCCCCATTAGCAGCCTTTACTAAGAGGCATTTTCTTTTTGTATTTAGTATCAGTTTAGTCATATATATCCAGGATTACAGGAACCCACAGGGTCACTTCGGTATCTTCAGATCTTGTACTGTGTTTTATAGTCTGAATTGAATGTTCTCTACCACAGTTCTCTGTTTTTTAATGTTTTGCTTCAGGCATTTCTCTCTCTTTACGAGTACGGCCAGACGGCAGGACACACCAATCAGTGCTCCAGCTGAACTCAGTCAGTTGCAGGAGGAATTATTTCTTTACTTCTATTCATATAATATTTAAGGAAACATACCCATTTAAAATGTTTAATATTAATTTGCAATCCCTTATGTTAGAGCCTAAATTTCTTATCATCTTCACACAATTGAATGTGCAGCATCAATAAAAGTGAACACTGAACAGAAACTTCTATGATGCTGAGGTTAACACTACCTCTGCTATGACACATTTTATGTGCCTCATGAAAATACTCCAAGCTGGGTATCTTCAGTAGCTAGCACATCTAGTGTCAGTCTATTTAACTGATCTAAAAAACCCAAACCCTTCAATGCTCTCCTGACTTTCACCTGACTTCCAGTTTTCATCCAAAGAGGCTTCAAACAAATTGTAATAAATTATCTGGCAAACAAATGTCTTCATTATTTTGTATACAACAAAGAGAATTATTTATTCTGAAGAAAAGCCAACTAAACTGTGCCATTCATTACATAAATGCCTAATGTGTATCTTCAGAGTTAGCTGCATGTAATAGATCTTAATGCTATACCCAGCTATAAATCAACACACTAACACCATTCTAGCAGCAGAAGGAAATCAACCACTATTAATAGAATATACAAATGCAAACTGATCTGAAAAGGCACTATTTGACACAAGACTTCCTGCTTGGCAGTTCAAGAATGTTTCCTGGCCAATGGCTTTGAAAAATACTCAGCATCTTACTCAAGAGTTTTCCACCCCTCCTGAAGGAGCCTCCAAAGGGGGTTTTCCATAGGTGGCAACTTACAAGGGTGAAGAAGCCTGAAACCCATCCCAGCAGACAAGTGCAACACCTAAAGGTTACAATTCTGCACAGAAGGCAGTTCAGATGCCAAGTGGGAGGCTGCTCTTGGTAAACCACGAGTGATTTAGGAGTTGTAGATCAACTACATAAAGTTATCAAGGAAGTCTTGGATATGATTTCCCTGCTTCCACTTCTCCCGTGTAAAGCTGGGACTATAATGCTTATGAAATGCAACCTTGCAAAAGCTTGGCATTTATTCTGATGCTACAGTGGCATGTCTGGGACCAGGAGAAATGGAAATAGATGATGGGTGGCATGCCCAACTAGCCCTGCTCCTCCTGCCCATTAGCTCTGGACACACAAGCCAAGTTTTTTGGCATCAGATTGAGAGGTCCCCGGGTGTGAGTTGAAGCAAGCTCCCTGGAAAACACCCTTCAGTCAAGTGAGTCCAGAGACTGGCATGTTTTGTCTATTTGTGCTTTTCTTAGACCAGAAAAACATTGCTAGAAGCAGGGCTGGCAAGAAGCCCATTAAAGCAGATCTACAGCTCACAGGACCACAGCTGCTTCCCAAAAATGCTGAATGCTGGATTTTTTGTCTTACTACTTCTAGCACATGCAGCAGTTACCTGTTCTTACATACACTCGTGGCATGAAGCATCTGCCTCAGTCCCCTTCCCTCCTCTTTTTCACATGGCTTCATTTTTATGTACACACCATTGCCTCAAGGACAGACACATTTGAAGTAGATGGGATTCTATTTCAAGGAAGTAAAGTAACTTACTTCTGCTTCAAGCAAGTTAACTCCCTAAGGATTCAAGAAACACTGTCTCTATATCAAACAACACAAATACATTAGAAACTTCATTATCCAAAAATATAAAAGTAAAAGCACTTGAAAAATTATTTTTATGCAGACAAAAAATTATCGCAAGATAAGAAGTGCACCACAATCCTTCCAACATGTATAATTTAATTTTTAGTCTTACAGTTCAGTAGATAAGAATATTTCTCTCCCACTTCAGCATATAAATATGAATATTCTAGTCAGAAACAGTTAAGTCCTTTGTATTTTTACTTGCTTGCCTCAACAGCAAGTATTCATGCTTCTTAGAGCAAAGCTTTGATTTGAGAGACATCAGGTGACGTACAAGACAACTGTCCACCACCAAGTACACTATGAATGTGTGAATATCTCTAAGAAGTACACACCATTCACTGCAGCCATTCACACGATGGCATATGGGACACGTGCACCAGTCACAGAAGCACCACAGCAGATCCTTCTTCATTAACAGATTCATCAGTGATGCTGGTCCCAGATCACAACATTTTCAAGGCCCACTGTGGCACTGTAGACTAAACAAACACTGTACATCAGCTGCCAAGCAGATCCCATCTTTCATGTTTAGCTGTTTGTGAAACTCAGTCATTTCTTCTCAATCCACATTGTCAGGAAGGAGCAGATGGCAGATGTGCTCTGCCTATAATATTGTTTTTATGATACCCTGCCTGCTGGCAGAACAGTGGAAGAAACATTTGGAGGCAAGAATTTGCAGTATATTTTCAGTTTTGGGTAAGTGAGCTAAAAGACAGCATAGAGTACAGGGAGAAGAGGAAAGGGTTGTACTGAATAGGTGATGACAGATTCCTGTGACAAAAAAAAAAGTGATACTGACAAAAAAAGGAGTATTTAATATGTTGATGTGGAAAGACCAAACAGATGAAACTATGAGACGTGTTCTCATTCATATGGGATTCAAATACAAGACTCAGTTTTTGGATTTTAAAAGTTGTTTTCTGAATTGCCTAACACCAGTGACAGAATCATAACAGAAATGATACCTGAAGGATAAATATATGCTTTCATAACAAAGCTGAGACACCATTAAGTTTACACCAAGGCTCTAGAAATTTTTATTAAAATATTCTTAAAATATGTGCATTATACACAGAAGAAAGTATATACTTTATTTTTAAGTAATATGATCTCAGCTGCCAACGGTATTTCTCCCTTAAAAATTTTAGTACACATATATCTTCCAAAATAACAAACCTGGCATAGTCACAAAAGGAACATCCTGTTTTCAGTTAAGCAAGATGAAAATAAAATAAGGTAACTGTTTCAAAACTTGGAGATTTAAAATTATGAACACGCTACTGCAAAATTACACCTGGGGATTTAGGTTGAAAAGTTCATTTAGAAAGCCTTATAAATCAAACTAAATATTGTCTATAACCTATGAGCCAATCTAAGGCAATCCCACTACATGTGGAACTCATTTATCTACATTCACTGGTACCCAGCTGCCCAGATGCCAAATTCATTTTGTGTAAACTACTGACAAAATTTGTGGAAATGTCTCAGGAAAGAAAACCTGCAGAAAAATAATTAGTTGTGACTGTTGAGCAGATGTAGTACAAGCTCTTCATCCTCTGCCAGAGAAAGCCCAGTATCTAATGGCAAACAGGGGTCCTCCTCTTGGCTGAATTGCTTCCTTCTTTTCAGTGGCATTTCTTCTGCTGTGACACTGTTGTTATAGCTTCTCCTCTTTCTTCCAGTCTTCTCCTCAAGTTCACTGCAGAAAAAAATCAATTAGTCTTTTTAACAACTGTGGTAATCAATATCATCATGTAATCTAACAATTCCTTTTAAACAAGGCAAATTTGTGTCAAGATAAGAGCAAACAAAATTACAATTCAGAAGGGTAAAGCAATGGAAGCTGATAAACTCTGAATGTCTAAATTAGAGCTGCTCTCAGACTGAGGTGGTGGTGGTGGATGTTCTGCTGTCTTAATTGATTACACTGTATCAAGATATTGCTATAAGTCTTATCTAATATTTGCTGCCTAACACAGCAACAGACAACTTGACAAAACTGATTTAGTGATGTGTCAGTGGACCATGACATGCATTCAAGATCTTGCCTACAATAAATATGCACCAAAAATAAAAGAACTGTCCTTTGATTGGCAAATCCTACACTTAATACTGTTTTGATCTGGGACTATCTCACTTGATCACTCTTTTCCCTTCTTTGAGGTATTTCCCTTGGAAGCTACTAAACACCTCTTTGCCATGAGAGGAAAAGCCCAAACCCAGTCATTTTCCCTGGTGAATTCCTATTTCTTCTGCTGTTTTTTTAAAAGACTCGACGGAACTGCCTTTTGCAGCCTTCAATCTGGATGAAACAGCTGCCAATCTGTTTCATCTGGCTTCTACCATATGCCCATGTGACAACAATGGGAGGTAGGACAGAGCTTACATGCATCTTCATGTGTTTTTGGTCCAAAACATAGAAAACATGCTAAAAATCTTCTCATCTAAGTTTAAAACAATCTAATAAAATCTGTTCTAAGATATATCTGTGAACCAGATTATGGAGAGCTGGCTGTTGTACACTGTAGGGTAGAATTCATACCCTCAAACCAGTAAAACGCAAGCCCTCATACTTCAAACCTTCCATCCAAAAAAGCTAACTGGAACAAAACACCATTCTCAGCTTTTCATGTCTGTATTTTTTAAAACATAACAAAAATAGAAATGAAACTTCAAAAACAGAGTGAAGGCTTTTCTAAAAAAGTTGGTTAAATTCAGATTTTCAATTAACATTTGCCAAATTTCTACTCAGAAAATTCAGTTTCCTTACATAAAAATTTCAACGAGAATTTTTTCATGTTCAAAACTTTTACAATTGCTTAAGTGTAAATATAATGCTTGTGAAATGTTCCATTCAGAAACACTGTTTAGACACTTAACAATTAGAAGCAGCAGTTACAATAAATAGCTATAACTGGGGAATACTGTCCTGAGAATCAACACAGCAAAGGAACCCAATGCCCAATTCAACCCACCTTCAGCTGCCCACCTTATTTTTTTTTCCATTACTAGGACTAATTAACAGTCTCAGTTTCACCACTCACTGGAAACCAGGCTAACCCAAACATTAACCCCAAACATGGCAGCTTTCAGCAAGTTCCCAAGTGCTCTCAGAGAGGGATCAGCAGCACAATGCAGCTTGTACACTGCGCTTTCTGGCTGTCCCTCCAAAGAGAAGGAATTATTACAGGACATCTGACAGCCTGGTGGGCTGCACAAGTATGGCCTGCCTCCCTTTCTCATCCATCCCACCTGTCAAAAAACAGTGCCATCTTCTGCCTACTCATTATAGCCCAGAGGAAGGAGGGAAATCCTGTAAGAAACACCCTGCATTTCCACAATAAAGGTAAATGAAATACCCTGCCTTTATGTTGTACTTCCCTGCCTACCCAAGAGAAACAGTGTAAAGAAACATGGTCTAGTGGAAGGTGTCCTGGACCTAGATGACCCAGAAGGTCCCTTCCAACCAAAAACATTCAGTGATTCCATGAATAGATGATGACTGCCCCAAATACTCACTTTTCCTATAATTCACAGGATATAGCAACTTTGCTGCCTTTGAGCTGTCATTTACATGGGGGTGGCTTTTCAGGGCTCACTACCAACATGTGTACCAATATACACTCCATTTCTGGGGAAAGGACTCTCGTGTTTTTCTCTGTAGTGGCTGTAAGATATTCCATAAATGCTGAAGCCATACTGACAGTACATGAAAATGTACTGAAGCATAAAGAATTCTCACTTTTCCAAGTGGACAGTGTGGGTCTGGGCTGGAGTTTCATAGTGTTCACTTTGATCAGGACAGACTACAGGGGTTCACTTTAAAAGCGCAAGAAAGGCCTCATTAAGTAAAAGCATTTTAGCTTGTTTGCGAAAGAGCCAATTATTTCCAGTCTTTGAACGGACTCTGAAGCCCAGTTTGCATTCATAATTGACTAATGCTTCATCTAGGACATTAGTTAAAAACATCGTAGCAATTAAAACACTGCAGAAACCTCACAAGCTATGCATTTGTACCTACAAGCTATGAAACAGCAGACTTTAAACACCAAAAATTATAATCACTTCTGGAGTTTCAGAGGCCCACGGGCCTAGATATCTATAAGGTAAAACATTTAAATATAGAATAATTCAGAAGGAACTGAACTGTGAGTTTCCTCAATTTTTTCCACAAACAAAAGCACATAAACACAATTATGATTAATTTTCATCCTAAGTTTTGTGGGATGAGTCTGCTGAGTCAAGCTGCTTCTTACTAAGGGATTGTGCAGCTTGATTAGCAGTGTAAACAGAAGATGCATCTACACATAGGCAAGTGTATTTTCACACTAACTTGACCCCAGCTGGGCTGTGAACTGGAGAGGTGAATAAAGAGGAATGTGTAACACCGGAAGCAGCAGCAAAACAGCATTTGGCAATAACAGCTTTGGAAGGTAAACAGAGAATCGTGTGAAATGTGCAAGTAAGATGTTCCTAATTTTGAGGAGCAGAAGAAATACAGACTGACTATCCATAGAATGATTTGGGGCCTTTGAGGAACAGCAAGTCCAACCCCCATCCCTGCTCCTCCAGAATGGATTTTTACCAGCGTGGGTTTGGGTGGTGTGGAAAGGGTCTGTACTACTCTGAAGGAGCTGTCTGAGTTGTAGCTTTCACAAAAGGTGATAATGGCAATTTTAAAAGGGAGATGAAAAATGTGAGGCATCATGATGCTCAGAGATATCCTGTGCTCATTCAGGTTGCTTTTCCTTAGCTGTAGGGACAGAAAGCTCTTTGATGGAGTTGTAACAAGCATAACTCTCGGTTCCACATGTGAAAGGACTGAGTGTGCAAAAGCAGCTGTATGGGAATAATTTCTGCACTTACTGTCAAATAAATTCCTCCTCCATTAATTGAAGGCCTGTCACCCTGCAGAGCCAGTCCTTTTATTGTTTCCCATGGACACAAATGGCCCCTCATTCGTCACAAACTGATGTACTACCAGCTAGTGTTCACAAACAGCCAAAACAAAGATATGCTAAGGTAGATTCTAGCAGAACAACTCACTCAGAAAGCAACCCCCAATTCCAATCCAAACCAAGGCCAGTGCATCTTTTTGTCTTCTACTAATAACATTTCAAAAGTGGCATGTGCATCTGGTTTACAATTCCTTCCTTTTACCATCTGGTGAAATTTAGCTTTTCAACTGCCTGAACAATCCATGCAGTCTGAGGCTGCCTGATCAAAGGATTTACTTTGTGTTTACACAGGTGAGGAGCTACCAACAGCCAACTTATCAACAGGCACAGTAATTTCTGTGGCCACTATTTGCACAGCTGTAACACCTAAGTAATATGCTATCAGTTGGTAGAAAATATTTATTACTCAAACATTAAAGTACAGTTTATGAATCCTGTCCCTGAAACAAATGCCAACATATCTGAATGGCATCTGGAAAATGGGCTCTAACTATGACCCTGATAGCTATACACCGAGAAACTCTTAAACTACTACAAAATAAACTCAGTAGTATGTTTTCAGGTAAAAATAGAAAGCTTTAATTGTTAGTATGTAACTCGCTTCTGGGCTTTAAGCAATGTTAATTTTTTAACAAGCTGTAAGGTTTAGATTTTAAATGCTTGAGAAACAGCCATTTGAAATGTGCAGTCACACAGCCAAGTTGCTGCTGTTTAAACAACGTGGTTCTGGCAAGATCTTTAGACAGGCTCTGCTTCACTTAACATTTATCAGAGAATGCTTTGCAGCAGAGTTTTACTAGCTTTCCTCTGGTAACAAACCACCCTTGCCACTGAACTACAGGGCATGAGTCAAGTTTCCAGGCTGCAATAAAACACACAGGCTCTTTCCCAAAGAAATGTACAGGAATAATGAATGAATCTGCTAGTAAAATACAGTTCAGAAAAGGTAGGAATAATTTATCCCATAAATATTGGCATTTTGCTAATCAAACATGCTGTGCCCAAAACTTTTTCCATGTAATAAATTTTAATTCACAAGGCCATGGCAGCAATCCTAATGAAGATTAATTACTGCAGTCCCTTCCATAAAGCCCAGTGCAGCTTCTTCCTTACTTGCTGTCAGAATGCTACAGCACATAAAAATGGTAATTAAAATATATTGTCCTGTGTTATTTTCTAGATCTGGACAAGCTGGATCAATGGGCTGAAGCCACCTCTAGGAGATTCAACAAGGCCAAGGTCAGGTCCTGCACCTCAGTCACATCAACCCCAGGCAGTGCTACAGACTGGGGGCAGTGGCTGGGAAGCTGCCCAGCAGAAAAGGGCCTGCAAGTGCTGGTCAGCAGTGGTTAAGCATGATCCAGGGTGTGCCCAGGTGTCCAAGAAGGCCGATGGCATCCTGGCCTGGATCAGCAGTGGTGTGGCCAGCAGGAGCAGGGCAGTGACCGTCCCCCTGGACTCGGCACTGCTGAGGCCACACCTCAAATGCTGTGCTCAGTTCTGGGCCCCTCAGTGCAAGAAAGACATTGAGGGGCTGGAGCGTGTCCAGAGAAGGGCAGCGGAGCTGGGGAAGGCTCTGGGGCACAAGTGCTGTGGGGAGCAGCTGAGGGAGCTGGGGGTGTTTAGCCTGGAGAAAAGGAGCCTCAGGGGGGACCTCATCACTCTCTGGAACTGCCTGAAAGGAGGCTGCAGCCAGCTGGGGTCGGCCTCTTCTCCCAGGGAACAAGTGACAGGATGAGAGGAGACAGCCTCAAGTTACACCAGTAGAGGTTTAGGTTGGATAACAGGAAATACCTCTTCACCAGAAGGCTTGTTGTCAAGCCCTGGAACAGGTTGTCCGGGGAGGTGATAAAGTCACCATTCCTGAAGGTATTTAAAAGACTTGTAGATGTGACCTTTAAGGACATGGTTTAGTGGGACTTGGCAGTGTTGGGTTAACGGTTCAATCTTAGAAGTCCTTTTCACCGTAATTGACTCTATGATTCCCCTATTGGCCATTCCACTGATATAAATCAAAACACCTCTAAAACTGAATATATAAGCCTCTGTCAAGAACAATTCAATATCTCAGTGTCCGATTTTTCAGCTAATCAGAATGACCAAGGCTTTTAAACTGAGACTTTTTATAATGTCTCTCCTATGGTGCTTCTCTGGCCATCACAACATTAAGTTCTGGCCTTCACAAAGTCACAGATATGACCTGAATAATCCATTTTAGAAGGAGCACCATGATTTGCTGATAAATCATCTCAAAAGACAATGTAATGTCAATGTCATCAAGAATGACCTGAAACTTAGCATTTCCATGCATCCTGCTGTAAGAAGAAGCTGTAAGAAACTGCAATTTGCCCATAATTTTCATAAATAAAGGAAAGCACACAACAAAGTACCACTGGCTACTAACTTGCACACTTGTCACCTAGCAACTGTCCATAAAGTCACTAACAAAACAGTACCAGAACTAAGATATTTCCCCTCATACCCAAGATTCTCTCCATGATGATCTAGGAGTTAATGTGATCAGTCATACCCATTAAAGATTTAAGAAGATAATGATGAGGTCAATCAGAACTTTGGTCCAATTTTTTTTGGTTTTTTGTTTTTTTTATTTTTATTTAAAGAGGTTGAGAAATTAGAAATACCAAAAACTCAATGTGACTGCAAAATGAATATTTAAGAAATACAGCTACTTTTTTTTGCCCTGTTCTATATTCTTAGATTTTTCACCTCATTAACAATTTACATTTGATAGCCTTAAACCAAATATGATGAATGTTGCTAGATATACAAAAATTAATCTCATATTACATGCTTGAAGTCATTAATTACTCTGCTTGTAGAGGTATGGCTGGAAGGGACTTTTTATGCAAAGGCAAATTTAACTCATGATTTGTACAGCTCCTCTACTTTAAAAAAAAATTCTGTGGGAGGACAGAGAAGATTAACAATGGTTTTGACTCCTGAAACCATGGACAGATGGTCTATTTTTTAAAGACTCTTGAAGGAAGACACCCTAGGTCTCATACTTACTATGAATTATCCCTTTTAGAAGCAATTTTTCCCCCCTTAAAGCAAGGAGCAGCTAGTGTTGCCCAACTTATTTCTATTTGATTCCAACTCTTTGAGCAAAATATCTGGATTTTGGAAATATAAAACAGAATAGATTTGCGTTTTCTAATCTCAAAGCCCAATTTTTCTGTCTGCTGCTCTCAGCTGATTTGTTTTTGTTAAAACCATTAGGTCAATATTTCCCAGCCACCAAAGCAACTCACCATACAATTCAATAGCAATTCTGAAAGAGCTGCATGAGGCATGAGTGTTGATTTAACAGACTCAAATTAATTTCCTTCACTGCATCTTGCTCCTTCTCAAAAACCTTCTACAGGGTGCTCAGAGCACCTCACCAGACATACCTACACTGAGCATCAAAGCTGCTCAGTGTAGTGTTCCTTTGGAACAGCTGCAAACAACTTTTCTATTTCTTAGGGTGCCTGAGCGAGGTGTGTTGGAAGGCAGCACCACTGCTGACTCCAGTGACAGCGCAGCATGTGATGGATAATCCTGTGCTGGCCATGGCCTGCCCAGGGAATATCAGTCATGTTGTTACAGGCTAAGTGGATTTGGCCATGGTGTGGGCACAAGTATTGGCGTGTGACTGTCCGCAACTGCTGCGACTTCGGATGGTGCCAACTAAAGCTCTTCTGGGCAATGTCTCAGTACTTTGGTGCAGTAGGACAGGCCAAGGACTGTTTCCAGTAAGCAGTGTTGATGAAACCAAATTTCTTCAATATGTGTAGTAGTCTTTTCTCCAGCTCCAAAGGCAGCTTAGATGCTCAGTGTAGGTATGTCTAGGGATACACTAAAGGAAACCTCCCTGGTTTCCTTTGATGTATGTTCTTTCTTTCCTAATCTACTCCACAGGAAAGGAAAATAACCAAGGACCTTGACTTCGAGTGTTTGCTCTCCTTAAGAGCACATGACCTGACTCTAGGGGGACCAGATCAGCCACTGATCCAACAATAGTCTGCACTTACTACCACTGCCAAAAATCTGTCCATCTCTGTCAACTTTTATTCTTAAAGCGCAGCTAATCTTGAGTCTAGCTGACATTCTGAGGGAAGGATCAATACAAAACATGATGTATGAATACACACTCCCCCTCGCACAAAGGAGGAGCGATTTACTGCTGCTCAGAAAAAGCAATGCTTTTCCCCATCCTTGTCAGTTCTATTGACATTCATGGGTGAACAGGCTCCAGGGGACATGGCCACCAGCCTGCTAACTCAGGGCTATCTAATCCTTAAATCCATGTCCCCCACCCAGTTCTGCATACTGACTCCACAACACACAGTGACACATGGATAAGGACAATCTAGCCCATAGGGTTCACACAATTCAGATGTGAAAAGCAAGAGCTTTATGAATTAGACATCTAGAATCCCATTTTAGTGTCAAGATCATCCTTCCCCATCTGTTACACGATACATTGTTTGTCACAAACATACAAGTGGCCTTCTTATTGCAGTGACCCACACAGGACTTCATGTTGTATCCCTTCATCTTCCCAGAGTATGTCGGCATCAACTACAGATCCTCATTCCCACCCTGTTCTTTAAACTATTTTTTATTAAACTACATGAAACAAATTCTTCTGGTTCATACCATTATAAACACTGCTTTGAATTAATTGAATTTATTACTGTATAATTACTTCTACTCATAGTCCACATGAGTCTTTCAGAGTCTGAACAATACTGAATCATAGAATTTAACAAGTTTTACCATGCACAAATTTATTTAATACAGCACAGCTGCAAAGGGATCATCAAATCCTTAAGTTACTTCCACATTTTTCCTTCTACACAGAAAGAACCTGCAATTTGACAGAAGAGAAATGCACTTCTGAAACAGAACAGACCCACCACTGGCCAAGGCTGAGCCCATCAGTGATAGCGGGAGTGCCTCTGGAATAGCATAGCTAAGAAGGGGAGAAAAAACTGCACAAAAGCAGCCAGGGAGAGCAGTGAGAATATGTGAGAGAAACAGCCCTGCAGATGCCAAGGTCAGTGCAGAAGGAAGGGCTGGAGGTGCTCCAAGTGCCAGAGCAGAGATTCCCCAGCAGCCCATGGTGAGGCTGCTGTGCCCCTGCAGCCCATGGAGCCCCAGAAGGCTGTGATCCCTTGGGAAGCCCACACTGGAGCAGGCTCCTGGCAGGACCTGTGGCCCCATGGAGAGAGGAGCCCATGCTGGAGCACGTTCACATTTGCTGGCAGGACTTGAGTCCCCAGTGGAGGAACCTGCTCCTGAAGGACTGTATGTACATATACTATATGTATGCCATGGAAGGGATCCACACTGGAATAGTTAATTTGCAGCCCACAGGAAAGAGTTGAAGAAGATTGTGGGAGAGACCCCACATGGGAGCAGGGAGAGGATCATCCCCTGAAGAGAAAGGAGTGGCAGAAACAACATGTGAACAAACTGCAACCTTCATTCCCCATCCTTCTGTGCTGCTGAGGATGAGGATGTAGAAAAAATTGTAAGTTAATCCTGGGAAGAAGAAAGATGTAGGGATAAGGTGTTTTAAGATTTAGGTTTATCTCTCATTACCCTACTGTCACATGATTGGTAATAAATAAATGCATTTTTTCACAAATCAAGTCTGCTTCACACGTGACAATAGCTGGTGTAGAGGAATCTCTCCTGGTGTTATTTCAACCCCTGAGCTGTTCACTACATTTTCTCTCCCCTGCCAAGCTGAGGAGGTCAGTGATAGAGTGGCTTTAGTGGGCACCAGGCATCCAGAGAGGGTAAGCCCACCACAGAAACTTCCAGGACATTAGTCAAGATTCAATATTGACTCAAAAATCATTCTTGCACAGCTTCAGAGAAGAAAGCAATAATCTTTAGCTGAGATTTCTGTTCAGCACCTAACACACAAACTTTAAAGTCAAATACTAAGTCCTGTGAGAAAAAGGACTGTAAGATGAATTCTTAACATGCAATATAAAAATATAATTTTAAAATGAACATGGAAGATGGTGCATACCTATAGCTGTCTTCACTTTCTGAATCCTGCTCTGCATCAGAGTCTTTGTATTTATCAGGATCTGGGAGAGTGCTTGGATCAAACTCTTCTTCACTTCCACTGTGAGCAAGAAAGGCCACTGTTTCCTCTTCAGCCTGTGAGGCGACAAACAGAGAGTTACAAGAGAAGCAAACTTGTCCATGTCACAACCCCATTAATAGGGGAGGCTGTAACAAAAACCACTGCCCCCAAATGCAGTCGAACACCACCAGTAATATAGCCAGGAAAAGAGAATCATTTCTGTCATCACCAGTACTCTCCTCCAAGGCTGTTTGTTAAAGGCTGAAGAAACATTATTAAAAAAGGAAGCACAAGGATTTATGTTCAAATTCTACTTTTCAATATAGTAATCTTAAATCTATGAAATCTAGGCGATCTAGGCAGCAACTAATCAACAGCCAACTGAGACCAAGTGTCTAAGTAATATGCAGCTTTACTGTCCCCAGAAACACACTGGTAAAGAGATACTCACATGTGGACACATAAATCACTGCTGTTAGGTGAATTTAATGAAATAGTCTGATTTAAAACTCATCTGGGTATCCTTGCCATTAAAAACCAAAAAGCTGCTTAAGCTGAATTAACTGCTCTAAGGGACTTTCAGCCATCCTCTGCAAGGGATACATGTTCTTCAGGCATCTTCCCAGATCCCCTCATCCCTCTTCTCTGGGACTCAGCTTCCCTCTGTCCCCACAGCACATCTCAGTATGGGCTGATGGCGTTGGCAAGTTTCCCCAGGGCATGGCAGTGCCTCACTAATTCGTTAAGAAAGAGAGCACAGAAGACGCTGCTCCATAAAAGTACTGGTAATATAAAAAAGCTGACTAATTTTGCAGATATAAGTTCTGCTCCACTTAATCCTAAACTGATGGCACCACTTTTGTAAATTTTTGCTAGTAGGCTCAAAGAAACAAGATAGACTGGAGGGCACATGCAATTGTATATGCACACAGAAACGCAGACAGAAAGCTTACAGGCATTTCTAAGCAACGTGAACCCTAGATCCATGCATATTTAAGCTGGAAAGCAAAAACAAATTCCAAGAAATTATAATTAAAGACATTGCTACCTTTTGTTTATATATCTAATCAACATGCACACAGCTGAGTTTCTAAAACAGTACTCATTTAAATGATCATTCATTCTATGAATAACTTCACATCATTATATATTTAAACTTAATTTTTGTTTTGATTTTTCATCATTTTTATCACCAAGTTTTTAAAGAACAGTCTTTATGTGCACATACCTTCCTGCAATAAAAATAAATCAAAATTAAAATGGCAAACAGAAACCATACCAATGGTCTCTTTTATATCTGCATATAGAGTGAGTGAAAGGCAATGAGCTGGTGAAGGGTAAGATTAGTCACCACTGCAAGAGTCCATTCTTGCTTGACCAGTGACACTTAGCAGCGTACTGAAAGCAAGCAGAAGAAAGAGACAAAAGCCAATCAGAGGGCAGAGGAAAAACATACTGAACACACATTTTGTTCTTTACTACTCTAAATACCATTAGAAGTAATTATATAACTGGATGTATAAAATTACTAAAAGTACTGTAACTCTTCAGTACTATAAGATTACTAAGGTAAAGACCACCAAGAGAAAAGCATGTTGATTCTCAGGAACATCAGGTACCACTTCACAAGAAAGTTGGTTTTGGTTTTACGGGGTTTTTGCCTACAAGATAATATATTCAAGCCTGTCTCTTAGTACAGTATTACAGAGCATTACTAACTCTGCAGAAAACTTTTTTGAATGTCACCTTTTTGCTAATTAATTTTCTTATTTGAAAATCGTTCTGCATTAAATTATAGGTTATTTTAATTTCTTACAACATTCAATATTTGCTCTTTACTTGTCCTTCCAATTGCGCTTCTTATTTTGATACAGCTGGTGCATACCAATCTTCTATTGAAAAAGAAAGGAAAAAAAAGAAGTAGCATTCAAAGCTGCTGTATGGAACAATGTATTTTTTAATATGTATGTGTGACACCATGCAACAGAGTTCTGTAATACTAGCATTTATGGACAGTCATCTTTTAAAACTTGGGCTGTTCATTCATATTCTCCATTATGACACACAGACCAGACCTGCACTTTAATTACACATTCATATTAATTCTGTCCAGCAGAAAATATACAGAGAAGTGTTAAACATAATGCTAATGCTAATGCATAATGCTTTTGCTATAGCAAAAGAAATAATTGGCAAAGATGTCTCTTTCACTCATCAGGAATCATGAGGTTGTATTTCTTTTAAGTATCACTGCTTACATATTCATTAAAATATTTCTAAGACCCTGAAAACGTTAAGAACCTGAGCAGGAACATTTATCATCCACAGCTGAACAACAGAAACTCATTATTTTTCCTCTCTCACTTCAAATTTCTATCAACCAGTCAGGAAAAAGAAATCTTTGACTTCACATTACTCACCACAAGAGCTGGAGAAAAGAAGTAAAATCACAGTTCAAAAAGACACGTGTAAAAGTTCTTCAGACACAACTAGGATGCAATTTACAGACTCAGGACTAGACTTCTCCTAAGGCACTTGCCATCAAAAGAGATTAGAAAAGATTTTGATGGCCTGTACTTTGTCTAAGGCTGGCTACAACGTAACACACACTTTGGAGTGTGTATTTTTTGTGAAGTTTAACTGTAGAAGGAAACTTGCCATGCTTGACACCAAAGACATCAAATCAGGCTGGCCAAGAGAACTGAATTAGGTGGCAATCATCTTTTCTCTCTGCTCAGGGATGACAAGCTCTCTCTTCGTACCACACCAGTTCATGTTATTTTGTAATTCTAGTTCCACAGAAACCTGCACAAAGACTTCCAGTTTGAACATGACACTGAGATGAAAACATTTTTGCATTCACAGTCTCCCTCTGACAAGAGAGTCTTCTTATGCAAACTCAACACTTTAGAAAAATTCAGCAAAATTTCTGTGCTGAAAGTTTTGGAAACCTTGTTGCCTTCAACATTCCACATTGTACCAAGTCAATAATCACATATGACCTTACTGCAGTCATTTTGAAAATATACACCCCCCGACACAGGCTCCTCTAGAGCTTTTGCCATGCTTATCAACAGAATACCTCCAATTCAACTTCTGTCTTTGTTACAAGATGTAATGACAACTTCCTCTCCTCCTAAAGAGGCCTGGATGGCTGATGGAGCTCAGGTAAATGAGTTAAGCAGGCTAAAAGAAACTTAAAATGAAGAAACTGATGTACCTCAGACACCCAAGGGACTCGAATGATGTCTCATTTCTATCAGGCAATAGGCACTCAGGTGGTTATTTTTTTTAACTATCTATCATCAGAAGGAAAAAAAAAAAAGAACTGAAAAAGCCACTATGAAAACCTGTATATAGAAAAGTTTTGTTATTTACCAAGATTTCATTTCTAAAATGCATGTTTATCATGGTATTTAATTCATATCTAATTTATTAAGGGTTTTTTTCCCTCCAATTAAACTGTCTAGAGTTGCACTTTTGATGTTCAACCCTTTAAGCAATCTATCAGTTTCTAGCAACCAGGTTGAGAGAGGAGAAATAATTGCTTAGGCACTATCAGTTCTGTCCACAGTACTTTACAAAGCACAGTGGGAGAATATTTCCAATTAGCTGGAAACAAAACTCTTAAGGTTTGTTTAGAATTTGATCACACTTAATTTGAGTCCATCACACTTACACAGTGCTCACTCCTTTCTGAGCTATGCCACCCTTTAGTTTTTGCTACTATGGCCTCTCCCAATAAGCGGTGCCTGTGACTGTAATGCCAAGAAAAGGTAAGTTCTAAATACTGCTAGGAGGGTACCCAACACAGGTACACAACTTCTAAAAGTTTAGCATATTATGTCTCATACAAGAGGATATTTAAAAATAAAATATCTTGTAAGACTTGACAGCATTTCTAATTTTCTTCATTTTCTTCTTTTCTGACAATTATTTTTTATATGATAACAGAAGTTGTTTTTGCACCATGTTTATGATGGAAGCCATTTATATATACAGAGGGGTTTTATAGCATTTTCTTTAAAATGTCTTACTCTGGATTCACCTGATCACCTCGCAGGTTTGGGTTTTTTTCTCAGCCTGTAGCCCAACCCAACACTGTCCCCAGCTGAATGATTGTTCTGATATTTCATCATCTACATTGCTCCAGAGGAATACAGCTATTCTGGCAGTTCAAAAATGAAATACAGCCTTTGATGTTGCTAGGGTGTTTGATCTAACAGCTGCTTTGAAGACCAAGACAAAAGCCTTAGCCTATACTAAAAACTGACTGGGAGCCAGCGGAGCAAACTACGTGTGGTCTGACACACATGGAGTTGTCCAAGCTATGCCAAAACTCACAGCTCCCATCTATACCATCTACGGTGCATCAGCATTCTGTGGCTCTGGCCAGAAAGGCTGGTAACCAAAAACTGTGGAAACCAAGGTTCCAGGTTAGTCAACCACACATGATCCCTGCGCTAAGATGATCTTGCTGATCTTTGGGTTCTGGAAGAAGTCGTTCACATTTCCTGGTTTCTACACTTCAGAGAATTTAATTTTTGGTTTTCTCTAGAAGGGACAGATAACTCTTAGCTTCATCTTTAATCATTCACTATTCCCAATCAGTAGTAGTCACATCCAGGTTCAATTTCATTCAGTCATTTTTTATTTCTTTTAAGCCATCCAAGATCTCAAACAATACAGTATGCCTCGTTTAGCCAGCAGAACCTTACTTCTACCAGCACTCTCACACAATGCACATGAGAATACTTAATTTTCTTTCTTGGCTTTCCTAAATGCCCCACATTTTATGGTCAGTGAATGGGTAAGCCTGTGTTCCAAACTAGCAGACATTGATGCATATATTCTGACATTCGAATTTCTGTGTGACTATAGCAAAGCAATTTGTGCTGGAAATGGCTCCTGTCACAAGCACAGCTCAGAAGTACTGAGAACACAAAACTAATAGAAATTGGTGAGAAGTCCTAAATCTACTCAAAGACCTTTTATTTTAATGTATTTGGATTTCAATTATAATGGCTATGCCTCAGAACTAGACCTTACACTTCTCCTTTTCTAATTTGTTCCT